ACTACACCCTCCAGTGACTATGCAGGTATTGCTGAAAGAATTCAAAATGTTAGTCGAAGATGTACTGATAGGTGTGTAGCTCTCAACTGTCCTTTTAAAGAATTTCCAGAGGCTATCAATATTGACTGTATGCATATTACTGATTTACAACTACTAACTGACTATCCTGAAGACCTGCCTACCATTGCTACTGATAACAGTAAAAGGTTATTCTTTAATTTCGGTTTTGAAGGAACACGTCGAACCAGTTCCGTAAATGGACGTAATCTTAAGCTACCATCAGCATCACTGGCACAGCTTGAGCCAAATAAACTAACTGATATTGAAAATAATGAATACTGCATGGACCCAACAAATAATGAAGATGCAAATACGAATAAGTGTGATCGTAATAATGAAGTAGAAGTGATATCATCCGATTGCCACTGCACTCATGTTGTTGATGCAGAGGCTGATAGTTCCATCGAGCTAGTTCTATCAGCAACTGGATCAAAAGAACAACGAAATAACTACGCGTTCGCTCATCCAATACATCTTCATGGTCATTACTTTCATGTCGTTGAAATTGCATTTGGTGAGTATGACAATAATGGAACACTTATAGCTGGTAATGATACAATTGATTGTGGGGATAGTTACCTATGTGTTAGACCTCGCTGGAAAACTAATAAGGACTACTCTACACGTACAGGAATGACAAGGGTCTCTTCTAAAGCCCCACTGAAGGATACTCTGTTAATACCAGCTGGTGGGTATGCTGTTGTGTATTTTAAAACTGATAATCCTGGTTGGTGGTTCCTACACTGTCATATTGAGGTGCATCAATTGGAGGGAATGGGAGTCATCATTAATGAAGGAGGGATGAAAACAACACCTCCTGATGGCATGTATAAATGTGGAAATTTTTCATTGACAATAGACGAATTCAAAGGCATAATTTCGAATGATACATCAGCACTAACACCAGTACCAACATTAATAATACTCCTATTATTAGTCCTGTTATCTCTCTAATTACTGACCTCTTCAACAAACAATAAAGTACAATAATGAGCAGTAGAAATACTATAGTACACATAATACATAAACAGTGAACATTTTAATATTAGATATTTGCTGCATGTGTATGCTAATATGATTATCGTTGTTGTCATTATTATTATTAGTGGCAAGAGTTAATATTAGGCTGTTAAAGAGTAACAACAGACCATCTTGAGATTAAAAGTCTCAGTAAAAAGATAGTACGGCTCGCTGCAAGTATGTGAATTCGGGTGAACGAAATTCACTGATGCATAAATATCAGACTCATACTGTCCTTGTAGAGGTGTGTGTAGGTACATGTGTCTATTTTTTATAATTTGCTTAACTACATTTAATACATAAGACAATCCCTATACGCCCCCACAGTAAATTAATTACAGTATAGACCTACAATGTAGTTTGTACCTATGGTTATAATCAAACGAATGACAATGATGAGAAAAATAAAAAAGACAATAAACATTAGAGCCTTAAATAAATCAATAACACACTAAAATAAACATTATACTAACATGCACACAAGCACATAACAGCTCAATAGTCCTACAATGTGCACACTAATGCTGAATAGGGAGACTTTTTGCTTGTTTTGATAATATGTAATTGTTTTTTAGTGTATGTCAAATAAATATGTTATTGTTTCTTTATAGTCTTTCCGTTGGGTAAAAGTATCAAATAACAGTGATGACAGCAATGCAAACTGACAGGTTCAGTTTATATACATTTAAAACACATATCACTAACACAAAAAACAACCAGAACAACAAGGAGCTATGAGTGGAGCTACTTTAACTTGGGAGGAGTGTGAGGAGCAGCTACTTTCTGTCAAAGGAAGAAACCTTACTCAAGAGCAGTGTGGTAAAATAATTGATGCTTTAACTGAGCATATTCGAAATGGTGAAGTTGAAAGAAAAAAGATCATAGCTGTACTGGAAGCATTGAAGGAATTAATAAATTCCAATTTCTTTGATAAATTGGATGCAGTGGAGAAAGAACTCAAGGACCAGAATGAAATAATAAAAGATTTGAAGGCAAAATATGAAGACCTGAAGGCTGAATATGAGAAGCTTAAAAAGCTTCAAGATGATCTATTAATTGGTCAAATTGCTCTTTCGTTAGAAAGTAAAATTGTGAGCCGCACTTTGCAGGGCACAGGGATTTCAACTAGATTCATCACCATCAAAAACATTGAAGATGCACTTTCTGGACGTGAGCACTACTTTTCTAAGAAGATATTCACAACAGAAAAGCAAAAAGAAGCAGTGCAACGGAACATTGAAAAATTACATGCAGAATTCCCGAGTATAATCGGTTCTGACATGCATAATGTAATCATTCATTACAAGCAGTGCAGGAATCACCAAGCTCACCAGGAACTTGAAATTGGTGAAATTCGAGCTCGTTTAGCTGAGAGCCAATTTCAGAATCGAGAGATCATTGATAAAATGCTAGAAATTTTGGAAGCCCTTCCATAATGCAAGACAAGTTGATATTATAACAAGGAGACTGAAAGAGTACATTTTGATTATAATCCTCATAATATCATTATATGTGTACTGTAGTAATGTGTAGTCAATGTCATAAAGTCAGTCAATGCATTTATTAAATTGTATAATAAACTGCTTATTTATTTATCAGATTTCGTAGTCAGTCACTTTAATTATAAAAATTTATACAAATACAAGACGATAGCCAGGCCCATTGCCACGCCAACACTGACTTCCATTAAAATAACTTATAATACTAATAATAAATCAACAAATAAGAGAAGAAAAGAAGATATGCATAACATTAAACATTAACAACCTTAAATAACGCACTATTAACATATACTAGTATACACACATGCACATGTAGTATGTAGTACATACTGTAATATATAATGTAGTTACATTGATCAGTTCAATAATAGTATCTATACTGTGTATACTAATAATGATGATATTAACTGTTGTGTAGTGAGAGTCTGAAGATGTCATTCATTACAAAGAGACCATCACCAAACTGTTTGAGATAAAAAGTCTCTGTGAAACTGTAGTGGGGGATCATCATCAGTCTTGAATAGGGAGAGAGAGAGAGAGGGAGGGAGGGGAAGAAAGAAAGAGAAATCAATGGATCACAATGTGTTCTATACCAGTATGTACAGTACAATATAATGTCTTTATTAGCTGTTTCAAGAAATTCTTGATCAACATTGCACAAGTATATGTATTACTGTACAGTGTACGTATAATAGTATATACATCTTA